GTTATATGGTCTGGAGACAGTGGCATTGACAAAAAAAAAAAAAAAAACAAGAGAAAGAACTGGAAGTACCAGAAATGAAGATGATGAGATTCTCTTTAGGAGTAACAATGATGGATAAGGTTAGCATGAGATAATCAGAGGTACAGCACAGGTTGAACAACAGGTAGATAAAGTTAGAGAGGCCAGACTGAGATGGTATGGACATGTCCAGAGGAGGGACAGTGGTAGAAGGATATTAGATATGCAGCTGTCTGGAAAAAGACAAACAGCCAACGAGGAAAAATATGGATGCAGTTTAGAGAGGACATGGAAATTGTTGGAGTGAGGACAAAAGATGCAGCGGACAGAATGTGATTTTTCATTCAACCTTTATTTATACAGCTAGTCTCATTGAGCCATGTGGACTCATTTGCATGAGATGGAGGAGGATGACTTGCTGTGGCGACTCCTCAAGAGGGAAAAGTTGAAAGAAAAATAAGAAGTTTTCATTCAACTTTAATCGACCCAAACCGCAACGTATAACCCCACAAATTTTATATCAAAATGACCGGCTCGATTACGCCATGTGTGCTCTTACTTTTTTGGCGTTTCAAGTTATCATGGCAACATAATTTGCAAATGTATACACGATTTTTCCCATCCAAAATGTCTGACAAAAACACCTTACACTAACTTGTGAGGTCATATGACTTAGAACGTAGAGGTCCCTGAATTAATCTTCAAAAGTCACTGTTGGATTTGTATGAAACTCACAAAAAACAATCATCAGATAAATGTCTAGAATGGATTAATGTTTTGGAGTTATTTTGATTTAAGATTCAAGAAAATTTATTCAAGAAAATTGATTCAAGTTTGAGATTCAAGATTCAGATTTTTTCTCAAGATTCAAGAAAATGTATTCAAATTTTGAAAAAAATTTATTCAAGAAAATCAAAATTTGATTCAAGGAAAAAAAATTGTATGCATCTTTTATGAGTGTCTAATGTTGTCCACTGTTGCCATTACTCTTTGTTCAAGTCTCTCTTGTATATGAGTACAGGAGGGATTAACCTGTATAAAGGTTGAATGAAGATGGTTGCCACAGCTACCTCAGCAAACACAAAGTTGACTATAACAGTCATTCTTTGATATACTGAGCTGAAATTTAGTATGGTCGTAGCTCATAGTGAGTTGTTATACATTCCTAATGAAAATCACATATCCAAGATGGCCATATTAGCTAAAAGTGAAAAAATATGATAACTCATCCCTTTTCAGAGCTACTCAGCTGAAATTTAGTATACTGGTAGGTGAGAAGGATCCCTATTAGACTATGACTGCAAATCAAAAATCCGAGATGGCCACCTGAACTAAAAAGGAAGCATACTATAAATCTGCAATTTTTGAGCGCTTTGACTGAAATTTGATGTGCTGGTATCCGAGAGCAAGGCTTATTAAAAACTTAATTCAAATCTAAAAATTCAAGATGTTCGCCAAAGCTACATTTAAATAGCTTTAAACCATCTATTTTTTACACATGCAGAGCTCAAATTTTGTTGTGGTTATGACTCAGCCTTTTTTTAAGAGCTATTCAGCTGCAACGTGGGATAGTGATAGCTGAGAGCGAATCCCACCACATAGTACTGTCAAATCAAAATCTTAAATTGGTAGCAACGTCGCAGTCCCCATCAAAGTTTTATCCAGGAACTTTCTAGTGTGTTATTATTATGTGTCCAAACAGTACCTTCACTGTGTTTTCTGGTCATCCACAGAAACTCCACCTCCATCCTATACCCCCGAAACCCATCTACCACCATCAGCCTCAGAGCCTCCCAAGTGTACAGCTAATGCAGCAGACCAGCAGGTAACATCATCCCAGGATAGAACTTATTCAGGCTGCTGTTGAATACACTTATATTATTAGTGTTTAGTGTATATCTTAGATCTATGTATACTGTTTCTTTTTATACTATATATTTTTGCTATTTTGGGGTGTAACTGGGATCCTGAGTACATAATTTTGTTCCACATCATGTACCACATGTGATGTGAATAACAATAAATAACTTTGAATCTTGAACTAGGGACCACACGCACACACGCACGCACACACAGCCTCTAACTGACACAGTGAGGTCACATGATCTAGAGTGGGGAGGTCCCTGAACAAAACTCAGTAAGTCATCGAGCAAACTCTTCCCGACACCACATCTTTAT